TTATGAAATTCTGTCACTAAAACGAAAAACTTGACAACTAACAGGGTTGGGTAACTTGTTTACAACCACATGTTTTTTCCTAGAATTTCTAGTTAAAATGGAGTGTAACTAAACTGTCAGCTGTGATTTATAGCCATCTTTACAACCATAGGCTACATCTCCCTGTTGTCCTCGCACCTCATCTTGATGTTGTCATTTTCTAGCCAAAAACTACAAACCACCAACAAATACACCCATGCACTCGCACATTACAATAAGCAAGAAAATTGACAAATACAAACTGGCTCTTTTTGTATTTGGATCATGAAATCAGGGCGGTTTTGGAGGAATGCCTGTTTCTGCTTATAATTTGGTTTGGAGACTTGACCCCTGTCATGGTTGTGAAATCCTGTCACTCCCACAAAGCCCTCAAATCTCTGCCAATCAAGAGCCACTGGCAGAGAAGGCCTCGTCAGATTTGGCACTAAAATGTGTCTTATGTGATTTGACCACACATGGAAAAGCTATACTATAAATAAAGAATGCTTGAGAAACACATGTATGAACATAGGACAGCACCAGAATATACAGTACGCTTGTTCTGATTGCACATGGAGGGTTTTGTATACAACTATCCAGTGTTACTTATACTTGTACAGGCATCCTCAATTTTGTTTATCAGTGTGTGTCCATGTGTGTGTGTTTTGCATTGTGATCTCATTGTTTGACATCTGCCTGTCAAGGGGTTACGAACCCAAACAACAATTTCAGGAATCACTTTCCGGGTGTTCATGCAAAGTGATTTACTGTATGCACCAGACAAGTTGATCTTTGCAACCAAAAACTGAAGTATTTATTAGATGATGTAGACAAGCTGGCACCAGGTTTGTACTGTTTGTGTCTAAGCAGTGTTTCTGTTGAAACAGGCCGACAGGAAGTCGATTTGACCTGCAGACACAGAGACTGATCATTTAGAAAGAATGCAATTTTTTTTTACTCGGTTGTTTGCCATGTAAGTTCCAATAAAACCATTAACAAAGTCAGAACTCAATTACATTTTTCGCAGTGGCCCTAACACTCTTCCGTAATCTTAAACTCACACCAATAAAATCAGAAATGTCATCTTCTAAAATAAGCACAACTGTGGCTCAAATTAAAGAGCCAATTCACTCATATTACTGAAAATTTTTTTCTCGCGTACAGTTGAAGTCAGAAGTTTACATAAATCTTAGCCAAATACATCTAAACTCAGTTTATCACAGCTCCTGTCATTTAATCCTATAAACATTCCCTGTGTTAGCTTAGTTAGGATCAACACTTTAGTTTAAGAATGTGAAATGTCAGAATAAGAGAAGAGAAAAAGATTGATTTCAGCTTTTATTTCTGTCATCACATTCCCAGTGGAGCAGCAGTTTTCATACACTCGCTTAGTATTTGGTAGCACTGGCTTTAAACTGTTAAACTTGGGTCAAACATTTCTGGACGCCTTCCACAAGCTTCTTACAATAAGATGGTGGAGTTTTAGCTCATTGCTCCTGACAGAACTGGTGGAACTGGGTCAGGTTTGTAGGCCTCCTTGCTCACACATGCTTTTTCAGTTCTGCAGACAAATATTCTATCAACTATCTATTCAGCAATCTAGGTCAGGCCTTTGTGATGGCCACTCCAGTAGCTTGACTTTGTTGTCACATTTTGCCACAACTCTGGAAGTCTGCTCAGGGTCATTGTCCATTTGGAAGACCCGTTTTCAACCAGGCTTTCACTTTCTGGCTGATGTAATTATGCGATCTATTTTGTGAAGTGCCCCAGTCCCTCCTGCAGCAGAGCACCTCCACAACATGATGCTGCCACCCCCGTTCTTCATGGTTGGGATGGTGTTCTTCGGCTTGTGAGCCTCCCCCCTTTTTCCTCCAGACATAACAATGGTCATTATGGCCAAACAGTTCCATTTTCGTTTCATCGGACCAGAGGACATTTCTCCAGAAAGTAGGATCTTTGTCCCTGTGTGCAGCTGCAAACTGTAGTCTGCCTTTGTTATGGCGGTCTTGGAGCAGTGGTTTCTTCCAAGCTGAGCAGCCTTTCAGGTTATGTCGATACAGGACTTGTTTTTACTGTGGATACATTGATATCAGTTTCCTCCCATGTTTTCACAAGGTCCTTTGCTGTTGTTCTGGGATTGATTTGTACTTTTCAAACCAAAGTACGTTCATCTCTAGGAGACAGAACGCGTCTCCTTCCTGAGCGGCATGATGGCTGCATTGTTCCATGATGTTTATACTTGCATAGTATCGTTTGTACAGATGAACGTGGTACCTTCAGGCTTTTCTCAACAATGAACCAGACTTGTGGAGGTCCACAGTTTTTTCTGAGGTCTTGGCTGATTTCTTTTGATTTTTCCATGATGCCAACAAAGTGGCACTGAGTGTGAAGGTAGGCCTTAAGTACATTCACAGGTGTGCCTCCTATTGACTGACATGATGTCAGTCAGCCTATCAGAAGCTTCTAAAGCCATGACATCATTTTCTGGAATTTTCCAAGCTATTTAAAGGCACAGTCAACTGAGTGTATCTAAACTTCTGACCCACTGGAATTGTGATATAGTGAATTATAAGTGAAATAATCTCTCTGTAAACAACTGTTGGAAAAATCACTTGCATTGTGCATAAAGTACGTCCTGCTAAAATATGTGGAGCGGTTAAAAAAAAGCTGTTTTTAATGATTTCAACCTAAGTGTATGTATAAATTCTGACTTCAGCTGTGCCTGTAATGATATTTAACTTTAGAGATAGTTTTGATTTTATTGCAGGTGTATGTTTTGCTCATAGTATTAAATATTTTTTATTATTATTTACATTGAAATTATTTTCTGATAAAGAAGTAGTTCAGTGAAATAGGGACACTGTTTCTGGATTGTTTTTGTAATGTAATTTTTTTCAGAGTTGTGAGTATCGCAAACTGAATTTCATTTACTGATGTGGTATTGAGGGCGAAGGTACAAATCTCAAAGACATAATTCAAACCCTGGACAAAATAATCCAAAACTATCTGCATGTCTACACAGCTAGATCCCACCAGAGGTAGGTGAAAAACCTTTATTTGGATGAAGTGACCCTTTGAAAGAAATATTTACGCAGGAATCATTTTGTCTTTTATAGGCTTGAATAACATGTTTAGGGCTGCAGTTTAGGAGTGTTATTGTTACTGATTAATATACAGCTCTGTTATTAACCAGTTCACCACTTACTCTATAAAATGTCAGAACATTAAAGGCCCATAAAATTCTCATCCCCTGAAATTATGTCTTTAAAATGCTGTAAAGTTTGTTTGATCATCTGTCAAAAAGTTGAACGGTGTTTCATTTTATAATGATGTGAAACAAAGCCCACAGAACACAGAGAAGCTCCTCTCCCCTCCTGTCTGCCCTTCTGATTTGGGGTTGTGATGACCTTTTATGGTTTGTCCTGCCTACGTTAGGTACCCCTGTGAATAATCTTTCAAGTATGCCCACACGTTCACACACACTCCGCTCAGATTACAGTTATCTCTGGGCTGCTTTACTCATCGCTGTGGTTATAAAGAGCGGCTCTGTTTGGCGGCCAGCGTCTGATGTCCTAGTTTACTGAACCAACCAGAACATCGCTGTTTCCTACTGGACGTCACAGTCTCTGAAACACATATAAAGGCTTGATGCACATGTTTGTACTGAAACATCTGCTCAATTAATCAGCTTCTGTCATCTTGGTCATTTGTTTTCAAAAAGACACCCTTGATCCAGCTCGGTCCAGGAGGTTGATGTGGGTGAGTGTTTCTAATCAGACCAGCCCAGACTGTGCAGGAGTTCTCCTATTCCCAATCGCACACATTTGCTTTTGTTGATTTAAACTGAACAACTCATTAATGTTGACTGGAAGTGAAAAAGTTCACATTTGTTTTTATCACATAATTACATACAAATGCAGTTCAAAGTGCTTTGGTGTTATAAAATAAGAAGTGAAGGCAAACAAACAGAAATACATCGAAGTGAAGGAATTTGAACCGTGAGATTGAAGATGAGAATCCTTAACTGGTTCTTTTCACAGTAAATTAATGAAGCAAGGCTCAGATGTATAGGACAGCTGTGCTGAGCTTTAGATGCAAAAAGGCAAAACATAATCTCACTTATTTGGAGAAAACTATGTGGACATGTGGAAGGCAGCTGCTTTGTAAACTAAGATCTGCAGGGATCACCACATTTGGTGCATTCCCTAACATTTACTATTGATGGGGAAAGTGTTTCTGGCTTAAATGCACCATACCTGTGCTTTTATTACCATGCACTACCAATTACAGTACATATACATTATGTTACTACCAGTTTATGTTCAAAATATAACATCATTTTTAGCGTTAATCACTCTAGAATGCATTCTTGATATCTACACAAATAATCAGGTGTCCTCCTCTTCAGAAGCTGTCTGTCCTCCAATTTCAACCTTTCTTTTGGGTTGATAAGGAGAAATGTTGTTGTACCAGCAGTTAATCCTCTAATGTTTATGTTGATAAATTGCACAATTGCTTTCTCAATTTAACATTTGTAATAAAAGGTCCTTTATGATCTGGTGTTGCATCCTTGGATGAAAATAAAATTATTCCTGTAAAATAAAAAACTAGTGAAAACAAATCAATATAGGAAAGTATGGTCTTATTAAATCATGTTATGGGCTGAATCTAGCCTAAAAAAATGGATAACAGGTTGGATGTCAGTCATGCCAAATTATTGATTTAACACCCAGTAGTTTTGCTTTGTGTTTAACTTTTGTGCTAGATTCTCTGGCAACATAGTTCATTAACACCATGCTGTCTCAGGTGTCAGACCCTCCCACCTGCTTATGAACGCATCATAGTGACTGACCTTTCAGATAAAATCATTGATGGTCAGCAGCAATGTAAAATAAATGCGCAAATACAAAAAAAGCATTAATATAGTCTGTCCTCTTTATACCTTTCTTCTCCCACTCTTTCTTTTCCGTGTTGCCCTCTAGTTGTGAACCAGGAGGGACAGCCTCTGATTGAGGGGAAGCTGAAGGAGAAGCAGGTTCTCTGGAAGTTTATCAAACGCTGGAAGACCCGCTACTTCACCTTGGCAGGGAACCAGCTGCTCTTCCGGAAAGGCAAATCAGTACGTAGCCTATGAAGAGTCCTCACACACACACTCACACACACATCCTTGTTTTTGCCATTTACTGGGTCCCTGCATAGACTTTCATTCATTTCCGGGAGACTTAGCCTAACCTTACACCAAGTCATTATTCTAAAATGTAACGATTTATGTTTTGGAGACACACTTTTTGTCCCCATAAGGATGTCAAGTCCTTACAATGTGACTATGTGACTGTGTAAACAGATTTACATCCCCACAGCATGAGTAATACCAGGCTAGACACACACATTCACACTCCCCGGTCTCTCAAAAAATCTCACAAAATCCTCAGTAATATGCCATTGCTCTGTGTTATTTGAAACATGATGAAACTCCGTAAGCTCGACTGTCTCTGAGGATCATGCTGTGAATCTGAGTGTAACAAACCTTGGCCCCAGTAAGGACTCTTGGGGGACTCCTAAGGCCAAAGCATGAAGCCGCATCATGATGAGTCAGTCTCACAAAACTGAACTAAAAGTAGATGTCATTAGCAATTAATTGACAATTAACTGGTTGTATATTTGTCTGTTTGTGAGTGAAATAAAAACTGAATTTCCCCTCTGAGCAAAGGTAAAGAAAGCAGCAACAACACATTTTTCCTCCAACATCCCCCTTGTTTGGTGCTACATTATTTTAATATTGAACAAAAGCTGAAGTCACCAACCAGAGAATCACTGTGCAAAGGAAAAGTTTGCTTAATCAAAAACATGGAAAGAACGCAGCCTGATTGAGAAGGTGTTTGGATCAGCGGTCTGAGCAAGTTTGGTGCAAAATAAGGTCACGGTTGATTTTATCCAGTTGATGAAGATTCAGCTTATGAGAAAATGTTGTGGAAGTTTTATTTCACCTTTGTGTATCTGTGTTCCTATCCTGATTTATGGCAGTCATGATGAACAGGAGATTGGATGTGCTCCCATTCTTTAGACCGTGTCATGTTTATACAATCGGCTCCCAGAAACTAGACAGAGGTATCTCATGTGGAAATAGGGGAATATGCTTCAGTGGTGGAAGAGTTGAGCTTTTTTTTTGGACTCCAAACAATAGTGTTTGTGCTCCCAGGTGGCAACGCATTCCTCCTCTCTACATTCCTCCTCTCTTTTCCAGCAGCCACTGCGTTTTTGTTCTCAGAACTCAGTCTGTCTTTGCCAGCATGTTCTTGAGGTGTTTGTCATGTTGTGAAAGACCTTTTACCAACTGGAGAGTGAAATTAAAGGTCTTTTCACATACAGAGTGATGAGAATAAACGATTCAAAATAGCTTTTTTTTCTCTCTCTCTCTTTTTGGAGGCGATTTAAACAAACCACATACAATCACGCCAAACCCCACGGAATGTGAAGTTCTTAGAGGCTGCACTACAAAAGTCCACATCAGGCAGGTTTTGGTTCTGCTAAATATAAGGAGTCCATCCTATACTGATAAAAAGGCAACTTGGAAAGTTTCACTGCTTGGTGCAAGGGCTCAGGCTTACCACAGTCATTTTTGGACCTACATTAGGATGTCTGTGGGACAATTTGAGTTGCTGCTGCTGCCACAGCACTTGCAGACCTGATTGACCTGGACTAGCATCTAGGCCATATGTCTAAGGTAAAATATATACCTACTGAACATGACTTTAATAAACAGGTTTAGCTGACACCATGTATTTGTTGTATTTGTTTGTAGGTTTTACTTAATTGAGACGAGACAAAGACTGGTACCAAACTGCATCCAAACCTAGACTTTGATCTGGCAAACTCCCATGTAGAAATTCAGACAGAGCGATAAAGATAGTGAGACAACATGACAATATGGTAAATAATTTGGTGTTTTTGCTGTCACCAGTCTACATAATTCCAAACTGCACTTATGAAGCCATTGCAGAGATAGAGTATGTTAGCTAGAGCACAAGCATGTCTGCATCTTGTCAGGTTTACTTTGTGCCACTTTGTTCTGATGCATTCTCCTGCTCTGACAAGCTTGAAAATCCAGCATATCTTTTTTTTTTCTTACAAGATGATTTGATTTATCAGAAAATTGGAACAGAAGAAACACAAGCAAACCAGCACATAGTGAAATGAATACTGTGATTTGAGAAAATATAAAATGGCCGAGGGTCAGCAGCCAAGTGCTGTTGTACTGCTGTGTCTAAAAAAACTTCCCATTACACTTTGTGATAGTACAAATACTGTGGATCAAAATAACGTATAGATCATTTTGTTGTCTCAGCAAATACATCTGGACACTCTGGAGGACTTTCCCCTCTCCAATGGTTTTATTTAGTCTTTGCCTTCATACCAGCACCACTGCCTCGTAAAATGATTAATACCAGCCAGAAATATGTGAAAAAGTTGGTGAGGGGTGTTTAGTTGAATATTGTGAGACTATGTTAACAGGCTAAGATAAAATGATTTACCCATATGGATAAAATTAATCAAAAGTCCATTTGAATCAGTTCATAAAACCACTGACTTAAATCCTCAGTGGGAAACGGGCTCTCAGCACAGGCAGCAGGGAGGTATAGCTGTCAGCTTGTCTCCTTCAGCTGAAAGCTTTTCAACCACATGTTTGTTTTCACTCCTTGTGGGGATTTTACATTGACTTGCATTCAGTTCCCGGAGACTTACCATAACCATAATCACTACTTGCTCAACCCCTACCCCAGTAGTAAACCTTAACCTTAAACCCAGTTGTCACTCTATTATTCTGCAATTTACATGGTGAAGACCAGCATCTGGTCGCTACAATATAAATGAAACCAGGCAGGCATGCACACACACACACACACACACACAGGATGTTGGCAGTTGCCATGGGTCTTGCAGCTAACTGCAGTTACGTGGTTATAACCATGTAACTTAACTATGGGGTAACAACAGAAGGCTATGGTGCAATAGACAGACCACCACACCTCCCCACACTAGAAATACATACATGTTCAACATTACATTTACTGGAGTACAGAGGTGGAAAGTAACTAAGTAAGTAAGTAAGAAAATGTACACAAGTACTGTAAGTAAGTAGAGTTTTGAGGTATCTGTACTTTGAGTATTTCCATTTTCTGCTACTTCATACTTAGGTTTCACTACATTTCAGACAAAAATATTGCACTTTGCACTAAATACATTTATTTGATAACTTTAGTTACTAATCACTTTTCAAGATAAGATTAATAAAACAAAATACAGTATAATTATAAAATTCTATTGATCCTCAGTGGAAAATCCAGAGGCTACCCAGCAGTATGTAAAGTAATTAAGATTAGGGCCTTTAACATTAGCTCCACCTTTACCAGTTACGACATTAAAGTAATGAACACAATAACACGTTAGTAATTATAATCCAAAAATATGATATACATTGATGTGAACTGTGCCGTTCTAGATAATAAGTGCTTTACTTTTGGTAGTTTAAGTACAGTATATATTGATGTTAATACTTTTGTACTTTTACTAAGTAACTTTTTAAATGCAGGACTTTTACTTGTAACAGAGTATATTAACTCTGTGGTATTGCTACTTTTACTTAAATGAGTACCTCTTCCACCACTGGTGGGGTAAAACAGACACAGTGGGCGGCGGAGCTGCAGGATTTAGTTTCATGTCCTGGAGAAAAGCAGCAGAACAATAAAGTGGTGTTCATCCTGTGAATGGTTTGTTCTGTAGTAGTAAATACTGGAAACAATACTGTGACACAGTATTTCACTAGTAATTGAAAATGTTCACAGAATTGTATGGGTATTTTCACTCAAGTCCACAAACTATACAGTACAGTGGCAGTTGGAGAATGAAGACCTATATGATTTTCCAAAGTTTGTATTTGTTATGTTGTTCGGCCGGATTCTTTACTTCTGTCATCTTCCGTCCTCCCCACAGAAGGATGAGTTGGATGACATTCCCATTGAGCTGAGCAAGGTGCAAAGTGTCAAGGTGAGGAGTTACATGATCATCTCTCAGAAACCTGTCTTTCAGAAGTCTGCTCCCAAACCCTTTTAGAAGATCACATCAACAAATACTATGAATAGTTGTGATACAGCTAGACAATGTTTGTATGTATTATTGTGTGCAAAGTGAGAACGTTTTAAGATTTAAATAACATGGCTCTAAAATGACAACTACAGGACAACACACCACTTTCTTCACACGCTCATCAAGTTTATTGTCATTATACTTTTTTTTTCATTTGCCTTTCTTCTTTCTTTATAGGTTGTAGCCAAGAAGCGTCGTGATCGCAGTCTGCCGCGGGCTTTCGAGATATTCACTGACAGTAAAACGTACGTGTTGAAAGCTCAGGATGAGAAACACACCGAGGAGTGGCTGCAGTGTATCAACGTGGCCTTGGCTCAGGCCAGAGAGAGAGAGAACAGAGAGGCTACCACTTACCTGTGAGACCGACACGGATACCAAAGTGGACAAGCAGACCTGGTACAAAGACCGATGAGATCAGACTGATGAGAACAGATGAGAAAACATGCAGAAGAAAATATCTCAGCTTTTGAGGATAGTGTAGCAAATTGTAAGAGGTAAAAACACACAAAATTCAATGCCAGTATCACTTCAGTAGCACTAGAATCAGCAGTATACAAACCCAATGATGGAGCACCTTTTAGAAAACAATCAAAAAGACTTGTTATGCAGTATTTTTTAGAAATAAGATGTATTACACCAGCAATAAAAGACTGATTGTATGTGTGTATACAGCCACCGTGAATGATGGTTACAAATACTGCCTATAATTAACTGTTACACCATGAACCTGCTTATGACATGATACATCTGTGGACCTTGGTAAGTGAATGTTACAGCGCATAAGTGTTAAACACATGAAGTGTTAAGGTCTTCAGTTGCCTGGAACCAACAGCATGAAAAGTCGGACTTCTCCCACTCAAATCTGGAGACTGCAGTGAGCTTCACCAAGCAAACAAAACTGTCATCTGCACAAACTTGGGATTTCTGAGTTCACTGACAAATAATGATTGAAATGCATTTGAGTCCAGAGTAGTATTCAGCAATAAACCCCTAATTAGAAGCACTGACGTCGTTAGGTTTGTAGCATTAATTAGACTGAACTCTTTCTTTTGAAAACAGGAAGGATGAAGAGGAGCCTAATGGAGAGCAGATGGGGAGGGCATTCAGTACTAGTTTTATGTGTTTGTGTGAATGAAGGACCGACAGAAGGGGAGAGAGGGTTTCTGAAAGAAAGAGCCAATTATTGATGTTTTCTTTCCAAGAATTAGATGACAAGATTGATACCATTCATGTGTGTGTGTGTGTGTGTGTGTGTGTGTGTGTTCACTAAATATTTAGAAGATGGTTAGCTTAACTCAATATAAACTGTGGAAACTGCCAGGCTCAGCTCAGTCTGAAGGTAACGAAATCCACCTCCCAGCACCTCTGAAGCTGTCAGCTGTCTAATCAATTTTATTTGTTTAATCTGTATGAAACCAAGGTAGGTTGTAATCTTTTGGGGGTGAAACCAAAACTGCCTGACATTCAGACAGAGTCAGGCTAGCTGTTTCCTGCCTGCATGCTATGCTAAGCTAAGCTAAGTAGTAGCTATTGGCTATAGCACCATATTTAGCACACACTGTCCATCCATTATCTATACCCATCTAGAGTTGCCAATCAGCTGAAGCTGCATGTCTTTGGACTGTGGGAGAGAACGGGCTTAAACCCAGAACCTTCTTGCTGTGAGGCGACAGCGCTAACCACTGCACTGCTGTGCCGCCCTAATACACACTAATGAGAATGGTATCAATCTTCATGTCTAACTCTTGGCAAGAAAGGGAAAATGCATATTTCTTTTAAAAAGTTGAACTATTTATTTTTAGATTTTCTGTTTGGTTTTTTTTTGTTTTGTTTTGTTTTTTTTTGTCATACTGTATTTTCCATCACCAACAAAACTTTTTCTCCCCCACAGTCAGCAGGGAACAACACATCATGAGGTACTTTAGAATCAGAAATGTTTCATCCAGCAGCATATGTTGGACCCCATGTTGTATACATCTACTCTTGTACTATAGTCACTTATGAAGAAGGCCCCTTAAGAGTCTGTGAAGTTGTCACTTTTCTGTTGTGTTGCAATCTAAACACTGTATGGAAGTGGCAACAATTTCATCCCAGTTTTTACAAGGAACAGCTTTAGCTCAGCTGCTGCTTAATAGTTGAGTTTAGACTACAGATTTCTAGGGGAAAAAAAACAATGTAGCAAATTAGTGTTTGGCCTGTGAATTTAGAAACTTTGCCAGTGTAGTCGTTAATTTTTATGATTCAGTGAAAGATTTTGCTTAAAGACAGCCAAAGAACAATGGTGAGCTTTCTCATTTTAAAAGGGTTCCAAGTTGTTTTTTGGTTGTTTTTTTTGTTCCGACTGTGAGATTGGATGAAGTGGAGTGGAAGGAGCATCTGAATGTTGTAAATTAGTGCTGCAGATCTTCCTTAGATTTCAGTCAAGCTCTTTCCACCTCTGGCAATACCTCAACGACTAGGATGCAGACGACACCTGTCTTGACCCTACACAGCCTGCACTTGACAAATGTTCATTGATAGCCATGGCAAATCAGTTACTTTGTATGATGTCTTTGTCTGAGTCCACATGTGAAGTGTGTGTGTCTTCTCGTTGGTATCAGATGCTTTTGGTTATATCTATAACATGCCAGATTTGAACTGTTTTAAAAATGTACAGGGTGGGCTTCATCTTAACTCGTGACAGATGAGCACGTTTGCTTTGAGCTTAGGTTGCCCTAAAGCTAAAACCGTGTTAGCTGTGTACATGCAGTCACGACACTGCCTTGCCCACTGGGTTGAGTTACTACTGTTTGTATATAATGCAATACTTTTAGCTGTGACTCCCTACACATCAAAGCTGACCTGCATCTACAAGTATTCATTACATCATGCTTCTTCATCACAGTTTGATCCCTTCCTTCCTCCATGTTTTACATGTATGACCTACATACACAGCCAGCTATGAGCCCCACAGTTGTTAGCCTCCCAAGCAGCATGACTGCCACTGTATAGCCACTGGCTGTAGACTCAGCTTGTTTGATTTATTGCATGCACATAAAATAAAGGATAAAGTTGGTCATTTTCTACATTAACAGTATTGTAAACACTCCCTATACAGAGACTAAAACCAACAATGATTCACCTCCACTGGTTAATGTCTGTCAGTCTATGCTGGATTAGCTTATCTGTCCGTGCCATACACTGCCATTGTTGTCCAAAAATGATTGAAAACACATCAGTGAAACACACCGTTGCACTGGGTGACATGTTTCCTCATTAGAAAACACCAGACCCCAAAATTTGTTCAAAATGTTGCCCCAAAGGCTCCAAGTAGCCATAACTTTTTACAGCATCTGAAGAGAGCAAGAGTATATAGGGGGCCCATGCACAAGATCTTTGGATATTCTTAACAAATATTTGACTGTAGGAGCTTGCAAGCAAATGTTCAGTCCACTTCCATTCTCAAGTTCAAGTCTACTGCCATAGATGCAACAGTAAATGTACCATGATGCTGACCTTACCCTTTTAGTTGCACAGTGTTGACTGGTTTTTGAAGTGAATGTCTGATCATATGAATGTCAAAATTACCCAGAAGTACCTATATGAATCCTCTCTAATGCTGCAATATTGGCCCAGCTTCCAAGCATGCTGGGGTATATACTTTCCACCTAATGCAAGACATCTGCAGGCAGCTGTGTAAAGAGTCTAGAGGATAGACACTATAGTATCTATCTATCTATCTATCTATCTATCTATCTATCTATCTATCTATCTGTCTGTCTCATTGTGGAGAATAGTGAGCTGTTACTTTCATCACTTTAAAGCACAGTGAGATTACATTTACAGTTTTAAAGGCAGATATCAGCATAGAAACTGCTGTAGATTTCAACAGTCACAAACTGTGTATGTAAATATGACTGGCGCAAGTATTAAAATGGCTGAATGCATGATAAACATTGAGCATAAATAACAGTCTTCTGTGAAAAATCAAAGAGCATTTAGATGTTACTTTAGAGTGTTGTTAATTGCATTTGATTTTGTTTGATTCTTGATAAAAGGTCACTATTTATTTTTCACAAGCTCTATTCTAACACTTTGGTAATGTCTAGAATGATTGTCTTCCCTTCCTCTGGTTTAAATTACTATGAATTAATACTGCAAAAAATGAAAGTTGTATTTAATTGACAATTAACTGGTTGTATATTTGTCTGTTGTACCTTTTGCATGTCTGAAACTGCCTTTTTTCCTGATAAATCTGTACAGTAACTCTTTACCAGTGAAGGCAGTTAATCTCACCGGTCTCTCCTTGTGTCTCTTTCTGAGAGTGACAACAAGAGCTGACTAATTTCCTGGAGATTATTACACTAGATCCTAATGTAAATTAGAACTGGGATATTTCTGCAAGCCTTCTCCAACTCCAAACCCTTCAGAGTGTCCCACGCTCAATCTGTCAACGTTGTTGTAATTCTGAAACTAGTTTCACTCATCAGCTGAACTGAGGCCGGCAGAGCTGATTGTTGATATTCCTGTTTTAAGTATCTAAAAGTGCCGCAAGAAAAAAGATTTGTCATGCAGGGAATGGAAAAAAGCTTTAGGGGATAAATCACTGTGAAGTAGCAGGGACCTTTTGGGAATAAGTACAGACTGTATGACCTTTAGCCTTGGTGAAACAGTTATAGATTTTGAGTCTATAATTTCTGTATTAACAGCATTGCTACTTTGTTAACTTTCCTCTTGTGTTAGGGTCGGCACCGACCCATTTTCAGTTTTAAAAGCATAAAAGTACCAAAAAAAATTTTGTTTATTGCTTCAAGGCTTTTTGTCAGTAACCTTTATTTCAACAAAATTTAAAAAAAAAAAAAAATCTTACCAAATTATAAAATGCTCCTACTGAAATTGTAGCGTTTGTGTTGTTAGGGTCGGTTTTTACCCAGTCCTAAAAATAAGATTATAAATCAATAAAAGAGTCAAAACTAAAATTATAAGTGCAATTTCAGCCCAGACACTGACAGCCAGCTCCTCTTCCAATCATGTGCTGTGTTTACCTGGGCATTTCTGGGCATGTCCAGACCTGTGACTTCAGTACATAATTGGTGACTTGCAGAGTGTATATCTCACAATTTGGAGCATGCAAAAATGAGAAAAAGATTTTCAGTGAGCCAAGTTCTGGATACTATTTTAGGAGAAAATGAGGAAGAAAACACAGAGCAACAAAGCAATATGGATGAACTGGTATCTGAAGTGGAAGACTACGTGGAGCTTCCAGAGGACACAGACACATCTGGGTCTGATGAGGAGGTCACCAGTGGGGAAGTTACTCCAGCAGAAAGAGTCAAGTCCAAAGATGGAAGGATCCTTTGGAGCTCAGTAGCTCATGATTCACTTGGCAGGGCAGCTGCTGCAAATGTCATCAAAAAGACCCCTGGAATAACAAGGTTTGCTGTGACGAGAGTAAGTGACATCAAGACATGTTTTGAACTATTTATGCTATTGTCACTAAAAAGGGTCATTCTTACTATGACAAACCTCGAAGGAAAAAAGGTCTATGCTGACATGTGGAAAGACATTGATGAGGAACACCTAGATGCTTATATTGGTGTTCTTCTTCTTGCTGGAGTCTACAGATCCTGCATTGAGGCTACTGATAGTCTCTGGGATGCATCGACAGGCAGAAATATTTTTTGGGCAACAATGTCACTTCAGATGTTCCAAATGATATCAAGAGTCATCAGATTTGACAACAAAGATACTAGAGCAAGATCTGATAAGCTTGCCCCCATCAGGGACATCTGGGAGAGATGGGTGCAGCTCCTTCCACAAATGATCAACCCAGGGCCAGAGGTGACAGTGGATGAATTTCTTGTGCCTTTTCAAGAAATATCTTTGCAAAGAACACATTAAGAGTGCCACTTTTTGCCACACATGCATCTAAACATCACATATTCGTGCATGTTCTTGCACACACAGAGACTAGATTTGCTTGATTGGTTGTTGTTTGTTTAACCTTGCAAATCTATATTTTTTGTTCTGACTTGTTCTGCTTTTCATTTCATTTATATTCAAGTTTTGTAACTGAGAGAAAAAAAAAATTCTTTGTCCTTTTCTTGAAGCTAATGTATATGGGTCGAAACTGACCCCAACACCATAAATGTTACTATTGCTAATAATATTAATAAATAAATAAGAAAATAATTAAAGAGGTGTGTGGTAATGTCCCTCAGTGATAGTAAGGTAACACAACCTTTTATTTATTAATGTGATTTTTTTGAGGTACATTTTACCATTTTTCTAAAATTGAAATTGAGGGGTATGCTGAAAAAAAGGCCAAAAGGTCCAGACCAAAAACATTGAAACTAATAATTTCATGGATAAGGAAGCCTAATAAGATAACCAAGAGATGAAAAAATATTTGGATGATAAATAATGGTTTTAGTGTATTTTATAGCCGATTTAAGATGCGGGTCAAAACCGACCCGTTAACATAAGGCATGGTAACAGAAAGCTGACACAAGAAAGAGGAAGGTTAAATGGAATCAGACAACATTAAACTGATATCTTTCAAGCATCTGTTAAGGTGCACAAGTTATTTCAGATACTTCATTCCTATTGATGCCTTTATGTTCACACTACAAACAAATAGGTACCATAGTGATTTCCGTGAATTCAGACCTCATTGTTTGGCATAAAACACAGGCCTTAAATATCATCGAAAACCTGAGAAGTTGCTTTAATGTGTATTCAGATATCGCATGTTTTCTTTAAACCCCTGCCCTTTTCCCAAGTTAATCAAAAGTGTCCCCATCAGCCTTAGTTATAATTATGTTGTGGTCAATATGAACATGCACAATCGGTAGCAAATGCATCGCATTAAAGACGAGGAATGATGCTGTTTATTCGCCCAGCCTTGCCATCAGACACTATGATATCTTGAAGTGATCGTGTAGGCCTATTGACCTCTGATCGCTTTCAACACTTGGATGAACTACACTCACTACGATCCCTGAATGCCCCCATTGTAGACACGCGCACAGCTGTGTTCACCTGGTGTTCGAGGTGGAGGCCGTGTTAGCACCGTTTCCACAACATTGCGCAAGTTTTGGAAATACGCTGTTTCAGACTGATCAAAGAGGATTTGTTGGTAAGTAACCTGTGTTCCAAAATTCGCTGCATTTCCACTGTAACATTAATCCTTCACTTAAATGCATAGTTATTCTAAAATCAACGTGGTTCGAGCTAAGCTAGGCTATTTAGGCTGAATTAGCACGGATAGCTACTGCTAGTTTTACTGCTGACAGTTTGGTT